AACTTTGGTGAGATCTTCCTAGCCGAGGCAAAATCGTGACTACCGATCGTGCGACGATGATCTTACGACGAAATCGGTGATTAGTTGATCACGTGTTCCGGGTCTAACAGTACCTATCCTTAAAACCTATTTACCATTTCACAATAGTTAGATTCAGATTAAATTAATTTTACATTTAATAATAAATTTTCTTATCGTTACCCTACCCCTTTAATGCATGCAGATGGCTTCGCGACATGTTCTGATAATGATATTAGTCTTTTTATTTAAATAAATTAAACTATTACATAACTTTATAATCATATTTACCTAAATAAACGACTGCAATCTTATATGGACTATGTGTTTTGTATATATTTCATTAATAATTTAACTTTCATATAGTTTAACATTAAATTAATACATGTAAGTTAATAATAAGCAAATATATTAGTTTAAATACTCTAATAAAAACAATCTTTATACTCACCAAATCAAAATATGAAGTAATTAATGTGGTATAAATAATTTAGTTTAAATTACCATTGACAAATGTTTACTATATTCACTGGTAAAATAACAACGAAAGCGAATAATTTATTATAAAGAGACTACATACATACAAGAATGCTACATCAAAAGTATACTAATATTAGTCTATCTAAGTCGCATATAAAGTCAGCCTAGATAACAGTTATTATTGGATGCTTCACATCCAATAACTATATATTATGTGCTATATGTGTGTACAAATGTATACATATACGAAAATGGTTGTATGTAGTACGTACTTATGTACTAGATAAAAACTCACGAACTGCCATTTCAATTTTCCGTCACTAAGTTTTGCAGTTTCCAAAGATGACTTCTCATAGTACACAAATACTTACCAATAAAGTCAAGCTTGATAATAAGTTAGAACCTCATATTTCAATTGAAGATAAAATTTCTAGAATTTTTAAAAATTCAAAAATATACGCACTTTCTTTTAATTATGACGATGCAGCAGGCTCTAAAAAGACAGTTCTCGAGGATACTAACTGTACTAACGGCTTTGCCGCTGCTGTTTTCCATGCCTATAATTATCACAAACATTTACGTTTAAGTCCTGATGATATTTGGCTTACTGTTGCTCAAGGAGTTAGCCATCATATTAATAAATATTCGGAAAAGTTCCGTGACAGGTTTGTTAAACATAAAGGGAAAAAAGAAATTAATATTTTTGTTGGCGATATCTTATCCGGAACTACTCTTGAAGGTGATTGGAAAGAAGCTGTAAATAGACTTGTCATGAAAACTGATGAGTATGTGGAAAATATTGAACTTAAAGAATTATTAGAGTGTGACTTTTCAACAACAACTTCAAGCAGCTTAACAGTAAGTCGTATTGTATTATTAGATACGGTGTAATCGTAAAACGGCGAGTCAGTCGCTAATCGGTCGGATCTCTCGTGTAACCTTTAGGGTCGGTAAATCGG